TGATGGACTGCCCAGAGATGTGGTGGAGTCACCGTCCCTGGAGGGGTTTAAGAAACAACTGGATGTAGCTTAGTGCTATGGTCTAGTTGATATTGTGGTGTTTGGTCAAAAGTCAGACTCTGTGATCTTAGAGGTCTTTTCCAGCCTAATTGATTCTGTGATTTTGTGATTTGAGGCTTTTCCTGGCAACGTATGTAAGGGTGCAGTCTGGAACAGAATCCTAACAGAGGGTGAGAGATCTGTAAGTCTGAGGGAGTAGTGTTCTCTTGCCTCAATTCTGCTTTTTTCTGCTCAATGGTGTTTGTTTTTCTGCACATATGGCATTGAGTGTTTGGAGGGGAGCACCCCAAGCACGAGTCACAGCCCTGCTGACACAGGGGGTGAGGGAGAATGCAGACACCACAAGCACTGGGTAAGTGCCTGGGTGCCCTAATGACAAAAGCTGAAGTATGTGTTGCCACTTGTTGGAATCCTGGGAATATCTGCATGGCCGTGTTCCCAAGGCATTTGGTGTAAGCTGATGCAGTTTTCAGTGACGCTGTGCTGCAGAGGCAGCAGCCGGAGGGTGCTGTTGCCACAGGAAAGGCTGACAGGCTCCAAGAAGGAGCACAACCAAGTCTGGGCTTCTGAGTGAGTCAGTCAGTTGTCAGGAAAATTTACCGTGCTGGCTATTTTGACCTACCCTGGAGGTCTGGAGGTCATACAGCCTTTGTTTTCTTAGTGCTTGTTTCTGAGAATAAGTGCTTTTTATTCTCTTAATTCTTGCTTAGTTTTTTGGGGTCCCCATTTTAGCTTGCAGTTACACATGGGTTTTTGTTTTTCATTGTGAAGGAGCAGAGACTGGATTTTACCCTCAGTTATCCCTGGGGAAGGTGCTGCAGTAGGAAGTGAGCCTATGGTTTTAGAGCTGTGCCACAGGAGGACAGCTGAGCGGGAATCTTATGTGGTAGCACCACAGTTTTGCTTTTGGCAATAAAAATTGCATCTAGCTACAACCAAGACATGGTGGTATCTGGTTGATTTACTACATGGGTATCTAAACCCTATTAAGGGCTCCCAGGAGGATGCCTCACCCTCACCTGCACCTCATCCATGATATATCCCACACTTCCTGCATGATGAAGCCCTTATTGCATCTGTGTCCCTGGAGCTAATAATGGGCAACTGGCAGCCACAGAGGTCTCACTGCAGTTTTTCCTGCCTTCTAGGAGGCAGGAGTTCTGCTGGAAAGGCCTGCTTCTCTTCTGGAACAGGTTCTGCCTTCCTCTCAGCTTGTGCTTGTCATTCTCTGTTTAAGCGTGGCTCTTGCAAGCAGAACTCCGTGTAGGTGCAGTCCATATTCAGTTCCTTCTCTAAATATCCTTCAGTGTAGGTGAGAAAGTGTTTCTGCAGAGGGGGGCCAGGAAGGAGGCAACAGAGTGTCCCCTACCTGACAGGGAGCTGAGGTGTTGGCATCTGCCTTCCCTTAGCCTGAGTTCTAAGGGTAAAAAAAAGCCCTTCTGTTCTTTTTTTCCCTATGTGGCTCATCTAAGCTCAAGGAGTGTGGGGTCTGGCCCCCTCCCTTGGACCATGGCCTACCTGCTCCCCCCCTGCCTGAGGGAGCTGCTCAGGTCATGGCCTGTCCCTGCTGCCTGCACATTTATGGAATTTTCACAGGAGTTTTTAAGTGACTTTCAGTCCGCATGCAAGGCTCTGAGCCCCTGCTTGTTGGAGCTCAGTTTAGGAGCAAATGTCTTTGAAAGTAGGACCTGTTTTGAGCTGTTTGGAATTGGTGCAGTCAGAGGCTAAGGACAACATGAGTGCTTAGTGCTCTGATGAGGGAACAGGGGACCACCGCCTTTCCTCATTGGGAACCCCCCCTCTCTCTGGGGTTGCTGCTTGCAACAAATGCAGTAGAGGGCAAAGCAAAGTTTATTCTCCTGCCCTATCCAGAGGTTCCAGCTGAAACACTGCTTTGCTGCTGGGAAGACCTCAAAATGTCAAAAACATGGCAATGTTGCAGACTCCAAAACCTAAGCCTGCAGTGGCCGCTGCTGCTTTGCTACCTTTGGCAGGGACAGAGATAAGAACAGTGGGCAGGCTGGACCAGAAGAGCTCTCTTGGAGCTCTCAGAGTGATTTCCAGAATTTTAAAGCTATTCTTTTCCCCAGTTTTTGCTTAGTACTATACTGCTTGGTGGGGGTAGAGGTTTTTTTTAATACCTCAGCCTGAGATGGATTTCCAGGTGTGGAAAATAGTCAGTTATTTGACTTTTGCACCAAAAGTGTGTAGGGAAAACAGGTGGAAGGAGTATCAGGACACTCTAATAGTATTCCTGGCTAATCCTCAACAACTAGTGCAGGGTTTAGGAGATACATATGGGAGCGTAGTTTCAGAAGGAACCATGACATTTTGGGAGAGGTTAAAAGCCTTTTGATGGTGAAATATGGCAGCTCTCTGGTCCCTTAAGTTTCTTTGTCAAGCTGGGAAATAAATGGATTTAGTACTAAGCCCTGTTTAAAACTGTCATTTTGAAGGATGATTTCAGTAATTGTTTTGCCTAACAGCAAATGATGATATCCTCTCCAGTGTATATTTAAGAGCAGCTAATGATGAGAGGATTTGAGCACTTTAATTGATTTGAATATCCTTTTGCCCTTAAATATAATTGGTCAATTTTTCTTTAACGGAAATGGGAATGTTCACATTAGTCAGTTGGATAGGAAAGTGACAGCTAAGGGAAAAAGATAAAAAAATAATTCAGAATGATGATATTGAGGCCATATTTACTATTTTATTGGCAGGATTTGCTGCTCACTTAAATCCACGAATAGACAAGAGTTGTTTACAAAAGCTGTTTACTCCAAAAGTAGGTGCAGCCACATACTTTAAAACAGGAAGTATTTATCATCACGATAGAAAAGATTTGATTTCAATACAGAAAAGTCCACGATATCTTATGTGCAGTTGAAATGTGTAGGTATTACTGCTACTGTCACCTGCTTTGTCAAGATTATCAGTTAAAAATACCCGAACTGGATTCACACAAAATCAGAACAGTAAAAGGAGCACTGGGGGAGGCAATGCAGAATTCATCTGGAGCTGGTGCCTCACATTTGACCTGACAATAAGCTATTCAACTCAACCAAAGACTGACTTGCTGAAGCCTCTCTTGCTCCCAGGAGGACAGATCATCTTGGGATCTCCTTGGTGTTTTGGCCCCCCTTGTACTTCATGGTGAAGGTGCACAGAGACTTGGTAAGATGTCTGGGCCTGGTTCAGCAAGCTGGATTTTCCTCCCTAACATGTTTTTTATAGGTCCCAGTGACAGACAACCTGAAATACATGAAATTCCATCTGAACATAAGAAAGCACTTCTTCACTGTGGGGGCTGTTGAACACTGACACTGGTGGTCCAGGGAGGCTGTGGAGGCCCCTTCCCTGGAATCAGGCAAAGCTCAACTGGACACAGTCCTGGGCAACCTGTTCTAGCTGAACCTGCTTGAGCAGAGGAGTGGGCTAGACGATGTGGAGATGTTATTCCCCACCTGTACAATTTTGTGATGGATTCTGTGATGACCTCAGCATCTCAATGCAGCAAAAGCTGGTCATAGGGTGCCTGGAGGTGAGGAAGCAGGTCCCTCCATATGTATCTGTGCCATTTCCAAATGCATGAGAGAGTAGCACTCTTCATAAAACTACAGAGTGGAATGGTGATAAAACATTCTTAAACAAGGTGTCACAGGAAGAGGCTTGAGGTTTTTCACTAGACTGTGAAGCAGGTTTCAGCTTTGTAGAGCATGTGCCTTTCATGAGAGCGTGCTGCACATTAGACAGTAGGAAGCTGGTGGTGTGTAGATTTCAAGGACCTTCGTGATGAGGGGTAAATTTAGAGGTTAAAGAGTGACAAATGGGCTTTTTTTGCCATCCTTCCTCTCCTGAGCAGAAGGAAAAGGACACTAAATAGCTTAAAGGGACAAGTGATAAGATCAAAGGGTTTAAGAGGTTTCTCTTAAGAGAGGCGTCACTGCTGGGATCAGCACTCAACTCTTCCGTTGTTGTATTACGGTCTAATGCATTCACAGACTTTATTGTTCTTCTTAACTCTAAAATGAGTGTCTACATCTCAAATTTACAGATGAGTGACCTGAAGCACAGCATCAGTCTTAGGGATGTTGTAAGACACAGAGTTAGGGATATTATCTAGAAGTCCACTGAGAAGAGTTCTGGTGGGAATGCAGGCTGCTTTTTGAGGGATCTCACCAATAGTGGGTATTCCCACAGACAAGGGAGAAGCTTCTGAGGAGACATTATTTCCTCTTTAACCCCCTCTCCAAAACAGATGAGAGTTGAACTGCAGAAAATTTATTTCAGTTTTATGCAGTCTACTTCCTCTGTGACTGGCATTGCACTTGTTCTCAGGTCCAAATCTGTGCTGGATTTGCTTCCATTATACGTTGATCTCCATCTGAGCAACATGATCTTCTTGAAGTACTTCATGGTGTTGTTTTTCACAGCTACAAAACACATGGTGTTTATCATGCTGTTACTCATGGCAATGCAATCAACTATGTAAAAGACAGTGAGATAATGCTTCTCTTTCACGATGATGGTGGGGAAGAAGTCCCGGACAATTGCGAAGCCATAGAAAGGTGCCCAGCAGAGAACATAGGCAGTCAGGATGCACATCAGGACCATAACAGTTTTCCTTCTGCATCGAAGCCTTTTTCGGATCTGTTCTGTCTGGAATCCTGGGACGGCTTTAAACCAAAGCTCCTGAGAGATCCTGGCATAACACAAAGTCATTGAGATCACGGGTACCACAAATTCAATGCCGAAGATGAAGAGGAAGTACGATTTGTAGTATATTTGCTTGTCAACTGGCCAAATTTGGCCACAGAAAATTTTCTCCTGGTTTTTCACTATAAATAACACCGTTTCAGTAGCAAAGTACGCAGATGGGATAGCTAGAAGTATGGAGACAATCCAGACCGAGGCGATGAGGAAGGTTGCTGTTTGGTAATTCATGCGTGGTTTTAGTGGGTGAACAATGGCCAGATACCTGGAATAGACAAATACATTCAAAATGAAGCCCGAAAACACTGTTAGTCCGAATACACTTCAAAATACAAAGGGGCAGAACTGGGCAGGAGGAAATTGCTGTCATTCCTGAACATATTTGTCTGTAAGAACAGCTTACAGGTCTGAAGTAACAGCCTGGAGCTGAGCTACAGTTTTGCATCACCACTTTTCCTTTTTAAAAGGAGTGAGAGTTTGAAATGTGGAGTAATACACACCTAGTCAGGTGCAGGGAAGAAATGACAAACATGTAGAAACAGGAAAATGCTTTCCTTAGGCACAGAGCTACTTAAATATGCTTTTTTTACAAAGCGGTCAAATATACATTACAGTGTTTTTCTTATTTCCTTGGTTATTCCATGGAGTGCAAAGAGCTGATGGTGATGTTAATGAGTGGTTACAGGTGAGCATGATTTCAAACCACCAACAAAGGACAGTGTACCTGTTTTCTGCCTATGCAAATCTTTTTTTGTGTGTGTTTTTTTGGAGGTGCTTATTAATCTTAAATGTACTGTGTTAAGTAATGTGGCAAAGCAGAAAACTTGAGTTAGATGTTTGCACTCCTTATGACTGTACAGCTGCAAGTTTGGGGTATTCCTGCTAGAAGAAGATGTTTGAGGCACACCAGAGCTCCCAATACAACTATATTTAACCCAAAGGATTGCTTCAAAAAATAGAATTTCTCATTCCTGCGGAGTCTTTTCCATCTGTATATATTCTATACAAAGGTAGCATCCACAGGATAAATTAATTCTAAAGTAAAATGGAAAGTCAGCAGTGCTTTTCACCAGCCAGATCTTGGAAGCAGATGAATTGTTCATGGCTCTTAATAGTGCAGGATAGGTGTCAGGGGCCAGCAGAATTAGTCAACCTCACTGTGGAGCTGATAAATGAACATTTTTAACTTGATTTCTATGAAAGCAGGTCGTGGGATGATGTATGTGTATGAATTCATAAATATGCATATCTGCTCGGCAGAACATTTGACTCAGTGGAGTCAGTCTGTCTAAGAGAGTCAGGACAGAGCTTTTGTGGTGGATTTCCTGATTGTCATTGCTTACCACACTTGGTCCTTTACTGTGGAGTGGTCCTGCAGCACGTGAACTGAATTCAGATGAAACTGCCCTGGTAGATGTTCTCCAAAAGTGTAAGTAAAACACACCAAGTGCCCATGGACGTTCAGTCCAGGGGACCCAGCTAAAGCTACCTGCTCCCCTCCCTCCATATTTACAGTGGACTCTTATCATGTGATCTTGCTTTTCAGATCCTCTCCTTTTACATTGTATTATTTTCTAGTGTAGGTGTGGCCTTAAATGTGTGAAATTCCTACGTTTTGTGTGAACAGACATCAGTGAAGATGAAGGAGAGCCCTACCTGAGGAAAATCCTGTGGGACAGACTCACCCTGTTGACACAGGTGATTCCTTCTAAATGATCTAAACATGAGAAGACTTTTATTAGAGTCTATTCTTTTTTAGAGACCGAAGTCAACAATCCACTTGACATAACCAACATGGAATAGGTGATTGTTAAACAAATGAGGTTTCTCTCTGTTTACCAAGTCAAAACCTCACAAAAAAAAAAAAGGGCAGTGAAACCAAAAACAGTGTGTTCTTACAACAAGCTTCAGTGTTTAATCTTTTCCAGAGTTGTTTTTAAAGATGTGTAGGGAGATATGCTAGAAAACTGATTTCTTAGCAGACATAAGAGCTCCATGACCCATGTTACTTCATCAACCTGGGATGCACTAGCAAAGCATTCCAAGAAGATTTTGTAGAGGTTGAAAAAGTGTTAGAAAATGCTAATACATACATGATAGTGTTTAGAAGCTTTACCCCAAGTCCTCAACTGCTGTTGAGATGCTATTTTGTTGCTTGTTAAGGATTTGTTTCGTAGGAGCTGATTGTCCCCTCACCCACACCAGGCAAAATCTCTCTGAACTTCCCCAGAATCTTTCCACAGAGTTCTGTTGACATCAGGAACAACTGAATCAGCCACACACGAGCTGTATCTGTGCAGCCATCATCAGAGCTCACTGCTCCTAAGCTGTCTTTTGGATCAGGTGCCAAAAATCATGCAGCATTAGACTAGAGCATGAAATGGCACATGAGAGAAATTGGGGACAAAAGAGAAGGAAGGGTGGGAATCATGCAATGTATATATGTATATTGCATTTGTACACAAGAGAGGGCTTTTAATGGTGGCCTTTCTATGAAGAGTTTACTGAGTGGGTCACTATCTTTCTGTGAGTCAGTTGTGTCAGATATGTCAGCATGAGACTGATCCTCAGAGCCCGGGTCTGTCGGAGTCCGTGGTGCACAAGACTGAGAGAAGAGGAATCATAAGAAATAATTATATTATGACTATATTATATTGTTAAAATTCCTAGAATAAGAGGCAGGCAGTCTCTCAGGACTGCAGCATAGTTAGGGAAAAATTTCTTTGCTGAAAGGGTTGTCAGGCATTGGAACAACCTGCCCAGGTAATAGTTAAAAAAACATGTGGATGTGGCACTCGAGGATGTGGTTTAGTGGTGAACATGGCTCAGAAGCTCTGGCCACCTCCTCGTGCAGTCACAGCACCCCACTTACCTGTCAACAGCTATAGCCAGGAGAGCATTGGTGGAAACATAAAGGGAGACAGTCCGTAGGTAGTTGACCAAGGCGCAGAGGATGTGGCCGTGCTCCCAGGACAGCTGCCGCACCACGTAATAGTCCATCTTGAAGGGGCAGCACACGATGGCCACGATGAAGTCCGAGATTGCCAGGTTGGCAATCAGCAGGTTGGTGAGGTTCCGCAGCTTCTTGTAGCGGACGAGGGCAGCGATGAAGACGAGGTTGCCGATGCCGCAGACCAACATCATGCCAACCAGGGCCACCCCAATCACGATCTTGGCCGCAAAGAAGGTGGGAGTTTTGGTCATGTCGTCTTCGCTGTCCAGGGGCAGGTCGTAGTCACTGTAAGTGAAATTGAAAGGGAAGGAGAAGTTCCGCAAGGAGCTGAAATCTCCATCGTGGAGGTTGTAAATTGCAGCAAAGCTGAGGTGGGTGGAGGCGTTTGGGTTACGTTCAGCTCGCTCTGTGGCCATGTCTGTTTTCTTGTGACACATGTGTCTTGGAGGGCCCTTGGTGTTGTGTTAGAGTTACCCACTGTGGCAGGGCATGAGACCTCATCCAAGGTTTCCTTCTGAGCAGTGAGTCACCTTGTCTTTGTCCCTGGAAGACTATTGAGCAACAGCCTCATTCATCTCCTCCTGTGGGAACAAAAAGAGGAAAATGTTTCCTGAAATGAAGTGACAGCAAAAATGCTGAGCTTGAAGGAAAGCAATAGTCTTCTTACTGCCCCACAGCTCTGTTGGTGCCTGTGCATGGTGGGAAGAAATACCCTGTGAAGGGATGCTTTGGTTCTCGTAAAATAAATGCCTTGAGTTGCATCATACACTGGTTGTTACAGTGGCAGTTTTATTTACCAACAATGAAATTTTCAACACAAAGTGAAATGACAATGTAGGGGGAGCGTAAAATCCAGTTTAAACCTCCACCAGCCTTCAAGCTTATGGTGCTGTCATCCCTGCGCAACGTAAAAGAAACTAAAATGACATCTCAATGTACTGAAAAGCATCTGATGTGCCTTTTGGACAAAGTCTATGTGTTATTCTAGATGTCTCAAAGAGATGTGGTAGATGAGAATGAAAAAAGAACTGATGTCCTGGCTTCTAAATACATTCCTTAATTAAGAAGGAGTTGCAAAGACGCAGGAAAATAGTGAAGCCAGCACTTTCCTTTTGGCAGCCATTAATTGAGTATGAGGACCAGATTTTCAGCCAGCATCATCCATTATTGCTTCTGTCAAACAGGTGAAGCTCTGCCGATTTGCAGAGGCGAGATTTTGTTCAGTGAATCAGCTTGTAGGGCTTTGCTGTGAAGGCAAATCTGCCTTTCACAGGGAGAGTGCTCCCACAAACTGGCCCTTGAGATGAAAGGGAAAATCTTCCGTAAGTGGGACAGAGTGCCTTGAATTTTTGATGCTGGGGAGGAGCAGGCTCCCCTCCTTGTACTGCTGGTTGTACCAAATATTAAAAAATTATTTATTTTTCCACACAGAGGGGAAAAAAACCTCTCACCTACCCCCCCATTTTGCCTCTCTGTATCAAAATGCTGAGAGGACTGTCTTCTTGCATCTTCCCATGCCCCATCTAGGAATTCTCACACCAGACTTTCAGCTGTCAGGACAGTCCTACCCCATCCCAGCAGAGGATTGGGGGAATTGCTGCTTTTTCTGCACTCAGGCAGTAGGTCTTCAGGGTGTTAAATGCTATCGAACAATAGCGGCCGTGGCTACAAAGGACAGTCTCTGTAGTGGAGCTCTTGCTCCCTTTCCCTGGAACCACCCTCAGCCTCTGATGTACTGACACTTAAATTTCTGAGAGAAACTCTCTTGTACAACTTTGGTCTCCATGTTGCTCTTCTAACTGATGGTTGCAGAAGAAGAGAATAAAGCCAAAGCCTGAAACTGAAGAACAGTTCCAACAAGGGACTGCTTTAGGTAATGCGAACATTCGTTTAAGAGAAGTACTGAACAAACACTGGGACACAAAATCTGTCTGTCAGAGCAGGGAACATTATCTGTTTCAGACAGGTTTTGCTGCAAAATACCAAGAGAGCTATAAAATAAATACAGACAACACAACTATCTGTCATAACACAACAACTGACATAACAGTATCAGGAAAGTGTACCTGCAGTTGCTCTCATCTTCTTGGAGTTCTCAGGCACCCTGGGAGAGCCTCCAGGTTTCTTCCCTGCACCTGCGCTGCTGTCACCGGAGCAGAGAAAGGATAGCTGGAAGCAGCTGGAGGACTCTGCTGAGTGCTCATTTCTCTCCCAGGCTGGTTTGCCCTGTGCTCAGGGGAGGATGGCTCTTCTGCCTCTGTGCTTGCATCCAAAGCCTTTGCTCAGTGGGAGGCACCTTGAAACTGTCCATGCATTTCTGATTTTAAAGAGGCAGCGCAATCCGCAGACAATAGAGCACAGCCTTAAACCCCACGAATGCGTGAAATTGGCCATGGAATTGCTTTGTTAGCCCTCCTGAGCATAGAAGGTGTAAACCCCGGTCTGCACTTGCTCTTTGGGTTTTGCCTGCGCTGGGCAACAGCTGCCTGCACCTGATGTGGCACAGAGGCAAAACACAGACCTCCCAGTGGAGAGGCGGGGGAGGAAGGACGGTGATCTTCTTTCCCAGGGACCTTTCTCTGTGGATCTCTCTCTAGGCTATTGTCTTTAGGACTGCAGCTGCAGCAGCTCCTGCAGACGGAGGGTCAAACAGTGAATAGCTGTACATCAGAGGACCCCTGACAGCTTTCCTTGCCCTCTCAGGGAATTACTCAGAGCAGGAAAGTGGCAGTGAATCGTTAAGGATTTGTCCTTTGCTAATGCTGCCTCCTCACATCTGTGAAGCACTTGCACCCCAGGGAGCAGTTCTTTTGCTTCCCAGTTCTCCAGAAGGAAAGGAAACACGCAGCACATGCCCAGTCCTCTTCTTCACCTCCAGACTTATTCTCATTAGCTGACATTTTCCAAGATGCACAGTTGGGACACATTGCATAGTCCCTTTTGGATAAGACTGTCAGAGGCAGTAGAGGGTCATGAAAAGTGTAGAAGGTTTGCAGAAAACTTAAACTATGTGACCCTCAATGCACACTTGCAAGACTGGGCTCTTGTGAGCTAGTGGGCACCTGGCTCTGGAAGAAATAAGTGAGGAAAGAAATATGCTAATATAAAATGTGTCTGGAGTAAAAGGGCTGCTGCTGTGGCATTTCTTACAGAAACTTGAGGCAAGGCCAGAGTCCCCACTGTCTGAAGCCAGCAGACAGCATTAAGAATGTCATAGCAAATACTTTGCTTGGCTTTGTTTTGAAGTCAGTGTAATAGGTGAAAAGCCATGAAGGGATTTTTAATAACCTGAAAGGGTGCAACCAGATGTATAGTGAGGAAATCAGATCCACTTTCCAAATTCTGTCACAAGAAACGTAAATAGAGTAAGTATAGGGAGAGACAAAGTGAACTTAGGGTGTACATCACAACCACATCAAAAAGATCCCTAAAATGGGCTACGTAAACCTTCAATGTCCCTAAGGAAAAGCCAGTACTCTAAAGGGAGCTTTACATTTGGAACATCCGTGATCTCTTTAAGACTTTGTTCAGCTGTCTCACATGAAGTTATCTAATGAGTTAATCGAGCAACATGATATCCAAATATTTATATTCCTTTAGGCCAAAACCTCATCTGCTGCAGAACTGTCTCACTCCATTGACTCAGGGCAAGTTGGCATCAGAGCCCTGATAACTACAGCCCCTCCAGATGAGCTCAGTATGGAGCTTCTGCACAGCAGGAGTTCATCTCCTGTGATCCAAGGAATTGTGCTGTATGTGTCAAGCTGTTTCTCAGGAAACACCAGTAGGATTGTGAAATAATGTGCTTTGTATGTGCTGTGCAAGACAGTAGTTGTTGACTGGGAATCAAACAGAGAATGAAACCAACAGTGCTGGGAGCTGCCCTTACAGCCACATGGGCAGAGGTGGATCTAGAGCCTCAATAAATGTCCCAGTATCCTTATCCAGGGCTGGGGCAGTAGTAGAATGGCTCTAAAGCCATGGAGTACATGCAGGAGGTGTATGCACATGATTCTGTTGTAGGATTTCTGCCTAGGACAAGGTTTCTCCTTGATAAAGTTTATTGGCCATTCCCCGATGGTGTCACAACATTTAACGCAGTATCACAAGATGTTTCCTGAGATCAGTGTTATCGAGTGTGACAAAGCCAGGCTTAGAAGGAAAAGTTGGTACTGAAAACTATCATGTAAACAGTCTACATTCCTGTTTATTTGTTTTTGTCATTAGCATGCTCACAGTTTGAACAGGGAAGTTATTTGGAGGCTAAATGATGCAAAAAGAATTGCAATGTGAAGTACTTGTTTTGAGACTTTCAAATAATGAATTTCTAAACCCAGCATTTAACCTGCGAACAGACCTAAGGACTGTGACCCTTTGTTTCGAAAGAGACAACTCACCAGCTACTGTCTAATTTTTCCTAATTGCTAAATAAATTGGACTCCGAGGTAATTAATCCTAGGGAGCTGACCTAAGCTTTGCTTAAAGTCTGGCTGGGGTTTTACGAAGGTTGCTGATAGAAATCTGTTGGTGAAATGGGACAAAGCATCAGACCTCATGTGATTTTCTGGGAAATCAGACAAAAGGTGCCAGCACACATGGGTTACAACCATGTGTACTCCTGCTCAGAATTCCCAGCAGACATTCGTACTCAACCTGAGAGTGTGTAGCTGATGTTAATGTTTGACAGAACATTTCTGCAGTTGCCTGCAGAAAGAGTTAGGTGCAAATTTTTTAATACATGGAAATATGCTGTGTGGTACAAGAGGAAAGTGACTTTTGGATAGAGTTTGGCAAAAATGTGCACACAGGAGTAATTGCACCCTACTTGGCTGTTCGAGTGGTGACATGGGATGTGGAAAGATCCTGGGAAGGAGTGAGCGGAGAAGTGTTTGACTTCATTACTGGATTATGCCACCGTGTTACTTTCCTGTTACCATCTTTCTTCTGATTCCTTACTGAGAGTATCACTTTGTGGCTTGGGAAAAGGGACAAAACATCTGAAGGAGCAGCAGACAGTGACATTGTGCTAGGATGGTTGTCAGCATTGATGTAGATGTGGCGGTTTCATCCGAAAAGGTCTTTTCCTTTCAGAGCTGCACAGGTTTCTCTGGACAGGGGTGTTCAGTTGTCTCTCACAGCCGAATGACACAAGGTTTAGCTGAGCTGCCCAGAGCTCACTTCATGTGCAAGGTGACCCAGAGGCAATCAGCAACTCTTTTCCAAGTAGAAGCTTCTGTGTTTTTACTTTCTGGGGGTTTTTTTCAACTTTTTAATTCTCTGACAGTTTTCTTCATCTTTGTTCATCCTTTTGTGATTGCGTAAGAAATGGCATTTATTTTGCTCAGTTCAGTTTAGCATGGCAATCCCCTGTGAGAAGCACCCCCTTGGCCTCAACAACAGTCTATGAAATATGTAGAAATAGCTCTAGGAAGCTGATGTTCCTAACTGGCACTTGTCACCCTCACTAGAGAAGCAAAAGTGACAGTATTTGGGGCAGGTTGGAAAGCAAGGACCAGCCCAGGGACTGTGCATGAGTTTTGATGCCAACAGTAGGAGACATGAATGACCACAAGAAAAACATTTCGGTCATTAAACATCGAACATTTTTTTAATTATTAACTATTCCTTTGATTTTTCTTTTCTTTTGGATGTATTTGTTGGACTTTGTGTGTTTGGTTGTTTCTTCTTAAATCTGCCTTCCTTAGAGCAAATGTCTGTTAGCACAAACCCTTCTCTTGAGCAGAAGGCCTCTGAATGGCAGATGTTAAGAGATCTCAGGATTATCATCTAATCTGTAGTGCTGTTCCTGGGCTGCATTACATATACCCAAATAATTTATGACAAGTGCTTTCCTGGCCTGTTGGTGAAGAAATTTTGTAATCTAGGGCTCATGTCTTCTGTATGAGACTATCAAATGTTTTTCAGCTGCACCAGATAGAACTTTAATGGACCTACTTTAAATTCCTCGTTTTACTATTTCTGATTGAGATCTGAAGTCTGCATTTGGCCTTTTCCTCAAGAACAGGTTTATACATACCAATATTCAGAAGCCTTTGAATTTAGAAACAAAAAGGAGCTTAATATGTCCTATGTCTCAGTCGGGCTTGTCAGTCATTTGGATTTTCAGAGACTGCCTTGTTGATTTTGGATCTTACTCAGAGATACTCTTAGTGGATCTTCTCTTTCAGTGGGTGCTATGAGCTGAAGAATGCTTTTGGAAACAAAGCAGCTCTTCAATTGAAGTGTCTTGATAGGAGATATATCCTTTCAAAAACCTGCTGACTTCTTTGGAGGTCTAAATAGGCAAAGTTGGATGCTGCATTTTTTAACAGATTAAATTGTCATCCATTTCAGCTAATCTCAAATTTATGCTCAATTGTGAGCACTTTGCTATTGCTATTCTCTTTTGACAAAGCCCTGCAATTTGTGTTATCATCACTTCAGCATCTTCTTTTTTCTGCTCTTCATATTGAGTGATCATTGCTTCCTGTTCACTTGCCCCGGACAGAATCATGTCTCCCCTTTGGAATATTGTGGTGGGTTTGCCATTGCCATTTGCCATTGCCATTTGTCACTGGTGATTTGGTATTTCACGATGGCAGGCAGAACGGTTCCAAGAATTTCCCTCTGCAGTTCCCATAATCCCACTTTCACCTAAAAGACACCCTCCTTTTCCTTATTTCTACCCTCAGCATAAACAGACAGAGTAGAGTACGTCACTATGAGCACTTTTACATCCAGCAGTGATTTGTGGAGGTCTGGCTGGCTCAGGCACATGGAGAGAGGAGTCCTCTGTTCCAGGTCCTTGGCTTCTCCCTGTAGCAAGACATGAAGTATTTAAAGCTCATGCCTCATTCTACAGCCTGACATGGTTTTTGGGGCTTCATTAAAAGTTAATAGTTCTTTATTTCTCACAAGTTATTTGAGATTTAAAGGGCTGTTGGAGTTCACTATCAATCAGAGAAAGAGATTAATATTCTGTGAAACCCTTATTGCAGATATTGCCGGCTATTTCTGCACACATTTCAATTCTAACTCAACAGAACAATGCCTAATGGTAGTTTCATTTGAAGCTACTCAGAGCATGAAACCACAGTCTTGGTGTCAGGATGAGTCATGAAAAGATGCTGTCACACCTCATTTCTGACTTTACAGAAGGCTTTGTGGTTTTTCTGATGTGGTGTCAAAAGTGCAGGACCTGATCAGCTACCTCCTTCTCATTTCT